GTCCCTCGTATGCACAACAACCATCCCATCAGAGCCCCACACCTTACAATAGCCACATATGAGCTGTAGTCTACACTCCTAGTATCCCCCTTAATAACACCTATAGTAATCCCCCATATAATCCCCTATGCAACCCACTTGAAGGAGTCTAGATTATAGCTCAATATAGCCACAATAAGTAGCAAATATGGCCATTGACTGCTGCTCATACTTCTCATCTACGGTAAAATCCGGGGCAGCCTGAGCATCCCTGAGATAAAAGGACCATGAGATCATATGAGCTACAGTATCCCCCTTAATAGCCTCGATAATTCAATACTCCCCTATATTTAAGGAAGTTCATACGTACGCTCACGTTTTTTTGTTGCACAGAAAACTGGCAAGAGAAAAGCTGGGCCAACCCCATGGCAGTTTCGGGGGGTCCCTGGGGACCCCAAGGGATACATGGGGATTACATGGGAGTGATTGGGGGTTCATAATTACTAGGATATCTATAGGGAAACATGCTTACCAACACAACTCCAGCCTATGGAGCATAAACTGCTGCTCTCTCTCTCAGAAACTCTGGAGGCGCAAGTCTGCAACACTGGCAGCTTCCAAGTAAGCAAGTAAGAGTGACTCCGTGTATACCAAATTGCTGGGCGCAAAACAGTGTTCATGCCCCACAAGACCCCGAATTTTACATTTGACCTGAAATTCCTCTGTACTGTCCTCTTGTGACGTCGGTCAATCTAAAGACACTCACAGGAGCCCGTCTCAGGGGTAGAGCGAGGCCCTGAAGGTGCACAGCTATGCACACGTACTCTATATATTACCCATGGACATGTTGAGAATTAAGCCACATAGTTGACGAAGCACCTTGACCTCCTCCACCAAGGAATCCAGTTCTTCCTTGATGGCTTTGGCAAGGTTTCTTTTCGGGTTTGGGGTTAGGGGTTCAGGGTGCAAGGGTTCTGGGGGGTTTCCTGCTTCCATGCTGCTAGCTCAAGGGCAGGAGCGTTGGAGGAGTCAGGTGCCGTGATGTGATGCTACGTCCGGTCTTCGAAGCCCAGGGTTAGAGAGGTGCGGCCACTTCATGCACACGTTAGGGCCTCAACGCCGATTCCCATATCCCAAACTTCTGCACCTCGCGCTCAAAGCGAAACAGAAATGGAGGTTTCACTAGACAGGGGCACCCCAGTATAGGCGCTCAAATACTATGGTCCTTTTTTATGGGGACTCCCCAAAAATGTTGGGAACCCACCGGATCACCTCCACACAGCGCACGCCTTCCGAAAATCACGGGGTCTTCGCTTCAAAGAACCGTCCGCATCTCAAATTGTCAAACGCCAACGGTTCCGCAACCACGCTGTGAACTCTAAAACGCTCCGAAAACCCTCCGTAAATGGTTGGATTACAATACACAAAGGGGTCGCATACTTGCACAACTCATGGAAACAAGTTCAAAGAAGCCCAGCCAGAAGCCTTATTACCCAAAGCATCCCAAAGCTGTCAACCACTAAGCCCACTCCAAACCCGACTTCCTAAATCTAGGCCTGGAGGTCTTGCTCATCCGCTGTGATCTTCCTCGATTGATGCAGGTTTAGGGTTTAGGCTGAGTTTGCGAAGAATTTCTGGAGTCATGAATTAGGGTTCCCCTGTCTCTGCTATTAAATGGTAGGCCCTGACTACGGCCGCGCCGCCCTAAAAAAGAATCCGCAAGTTCGAGAAAAGACATATGGAATCTGTGGGCTGAATCAAACGAGTCAACACAAGAGAAGATTTAAAGCCGAATCTAAATCCTAAACCCTAAACCTAAACTCTAAACCGTGGAGCCCACCCAGGATGAAACAGAAATCCAAATGTTAACAGTCTAGGGTCTAGGGTTTAGTGGTTAGGGTATAGGGGTTTAGGGTGTACGTCTTTAAGGGGTTTAGGGTACTCAGCTAGGCTGGCAGTTTGGATTCCTGCTTTGGGAGCCCGCTACTTTGGGAAATGCCCGCCGAGCAGAGCCCGCGGCTGCAGCAGAGGAGCCCTAGGCATCTCCGACTCAGAATCTCGCAGCTTAGGGTTTACGGATTATAGGCTTTATAGGGTTATAGGGCCTAGGGCCTAGGGATAATGGAAAAGAAAATGGAAACTACTATTTAGGGTTTAGGGTTTATAGGCTTTAGGGTTCGGGCCTAGGGTTTAGGGTGACATGTCATTGGGTGATTTCCTCAAAGCTTCAAAATGTCGATTTCGTTGCCCAAAGTCCTTTGCACCCAAGCCCCGTAAGCCCTGAACAATACCTTGGATCTCTTCTATCCCTCAACACCCGGGCCCCAGATCCTTGAACCACGAACCCTGTTTTGCATCCGGACTCCGCATGATTTGCCGGAACCAGACGCTCTCCGAGCTGTCTGACAAAATAGACTTGGCTAAAACCTGAAACCCTGAACCCTCCCAGGTCTTATAGATCCCTCCCCACCCTAAACCCTAAACCCTAAACCCTGAGCCCTCCCAGGTCTTATAGATCCCTTCCCAAACGATGGGCAGCCGTGGTTCTGCCTGTCCTGGATGCTCATCCAGAGCGCCTTGTTACTTGGAGGGTTTAGGGTTTAGGGTGTTTCGAATAACAACCCACTACCCCTAACAAAAAAAAACAGTTAGATACTGGTAGTATGTTGGGGGTTTGTACTCTTGGGTGGCGTGAGATTGTTGTCCAGGGTGATTGTGAGTGTTGGTATAGTCCAACTATAACCTTAATATTTAAATTGAACGGACAACGGGAGATGCCACGCTATTTCCGGTTGAGGGTCTCTGGGTATTAGAGTCATGGAGAATGAGGCGGACAAGTAAATTGAAAAAGAACATGGGAGCTGGCTTGATCTAGTCTTCAGAGATTGCCATCAAGACCTGCTTGAAGGTTCAAGGTTAATTATGAGGCTCAAGCAGAACATCAACATCAAAAAGGCAAATTGAATGGGAAGTAAGGTGGCGGGAGTAGCTTACTAACTGTATTTATAGCCCAGTTACAAGCCCACCAGGTAAATGGAGCTACACCAACAATGTAAATGGAGTGTTTCTGATTCGAAAAATCCAAGTCATCCAAGAAGGGTCACTATGAGCTCAAGACTACTTGCGGCCCTAAAGCATAGCCTGTACTCTAAGCCCTATACACCCGAAATCCTTCGTGGTCTAGGGTCGATGACGTTTGGAAATGAGAAGTGCATCAGATAACGGCAAGAGTTCCGAGTTTTGACTGTTGCACTGAGGGAGCTGATATAAGGCTATGACTACCTTAGGTAGGCCAGAAGCAAGACCATGCACAAAGCGCAAGGAACGGAAAAGAAAAGGCCCTCAATCCGAAACCCTAAGCACAAATCCGAAACCCTGAGTTGCAAAATAGACGATGCAGTATGCAAGTCCAATCGTTGCGATCGCTCTCGTGATAGCAGTCATGTGGTGGATAGAGGGAATCTTGCACCTTGAGAACCTCTGACCTGTTGCTGACTCATATTTCCCACAGAAGGACGGTGAGATTCAACTGCCAGCTGCTCTTTGTATCGCTTTCATGGTAGATCATCAAAACGATGGTTCCTTTTTGGATCTTCACTTTAATGCGGACTAGGTTGCCTCCCCAAAGGGGACAGTAATTTGGACAACGCCCACCTCTCATACAGCAAACAGGCCTACATGCTCATCTCCACGAGCGGCCTTCTTGGAGGTTCAGGGTAATTCCCTATTGGGGGACTTAAGGTGCCTGTAACTGGCTCATAAGTGCAGTCATAAACAGGATATAGTTGCCCCGACATTTCAAGTAGTGCAGTTCGTACCAGGTCCCTACAGGATCCTGGCAACGCCCAACGATAAGCCCACTCATGATCTCGATGTATGTAAGGTCTGTGCAAGCCCATATGCAACTGCCGTATGGTCGTGGAATCCCTCTGTAACCCCCAAGCGATATCCAAGTCTCGAAGAACAACCACCTCGGCACCACCAGGTTCAGGCAGTGTACATGTGCCAGCTGGCTCTTAACTCATCGGCCAAGTACACTTCACAACCCTGGGCCCAATTCCCAAAAAAATCGGACAACCACTGAAGCTACCACGTGAACTTCCCCACCCACAACGTGGAACCACTCTAGCACCGAGGCACAGCATTTTGGGATTTCAGCTTATCTCTGTCCTCAACCGTCGGACCATCCTGCTTCTGTTTGTTCAGGCCTCAGTCCAGGGATTGTTGAGGATTGCTGCGCAAGGGTTGTCTACTGTAGGGTCCTGAACACGTACCCTGATCTTTATACTTAATGAGGTATCCTATGCCACGACTCTACTTAATAAGTTTAACGGAATTCCTTCAAGGTGTTGTAGGGATGCATACGGTCTTTAGGGTGGAAAGTCTAGTTAGCAACGTGGGCAGTAAGATCATCATGGGTGGACATATAGTCCCCCTTGAATGGATAGAATATGGCTTTGGGTATATTATAATAAGATCCCCATATACCACATATTCTACCTACAAAAACGGGGACTATACCAAGTCAAGACAACCACCTCAAGTTTGAGAAAGTCGGACTCGTCCGGAGACCGAATACAGACTCAATTACCCATATTGTTTGGAGGTCTGCTTGAAATACCTTATGACATCATAAGGAATCTAGAACGATAATGCAGGTTAACAGAGAGAAAACTGAGCCAAACTCCAGTGATTGTGAATAGCGAGTCAAGTAGGACGTCTCAGCTACATGACTGAGGAATGGTCGGCACAGCACGGACCTTGTCCCAAATGACTAGGCGATTTCAGGACCCTGGGCAAAAATGTCATCACGGACTCCGCGGGAGATGCGGCAAATTTTGACATGCCGCTTCGCGCCTGCACCAGAGGCAGATTGAAACTGCCTCGATGATGTAAGAAAAGCATGGGAATCTCCGAAAGCAAGGGATTCCTGTTGAAAGTTCTTTATATAACAGCTCCCCATGCTTGCGGTGCTCCCTGGCTTTCGGAAAGTGCCAGCTGGTAGTGAAGCTGGCCTCACATTACAACGCTCCAGTGCCCTTGCGTCCCTTGTGGGATCGCAAGAGCCATCGGACTTCATCCTTTTTGGCAAAGTCCAGTGGCGTGGCACCCGCAGTGTTGGTAGCATTTGCATCTGCACCACTCCTCACTCCAGAGCATCTCTTGAAAACTTCTCTTCTGAATACACGCAGCAGCTGAAGTACAACCAAACGACGAGCGAAACAACCATACAGGCGGCGGGGCGGGGGCGGCGGTGGCAGCTACATGGTCGGTATAGTCATCGTCATCATGGTCGGTGGTAGCGGTAAAGGTTTAAGGCGCCCTCGCCATCATCATTGCATCGTCGGTAGCGGATGTAGCAGCAACAGTACAAGCAGCTGTTGCATCACTAGCAGCAAACAGTGGTAGTGCTGGTTGTAGCAGTGCAGTTGGTACAGGGGCATGGGGCATAGGCGCTGGTGGCGGCGGTGCCTGTGGGCGGGGGAAGGGTAACTAAACAGAAGAAATGCCTGTGCCTCAGGAACCTAAAATAACCTGCTGGATACCAGAATGGCACCCCTGAACCCTAAACCACTCCCCAAAAAGTCCAGAATGGGTCATGAAGAACCTAGATTCTGAAGCAGCAGACCAGCGAGCTCCGCCTCACCCAACCTCGGGTAGGTGTAGGGGAGAGCTAGATCTCACAAATTCATATACGTATATATTCGTGTAAAAATATGTGGTGTGTGTCTATACATATTTATATAAAGGTTATATAGGGAGGTATATAGGGATATCTAGGGTTTAGCTTTGGGTTTCTGTAAACTGTAATCTCCAACCCCAGAATGATCGAAAAAATGCTGCGCAGTCCTATTTGGGAGGTCTAGATAATGCAGAACCCAAAAATGGAAAGTGATGGAAACTCGGCTGAGGGCTTATGGAAGCTAATGTGGGGGTCCAAGAAATCAGAAAAATGCTCAGGAGTGGAAGAGAAGATCAAAACCATGCAACATTCAGGGCCAAGCATTTGGGGACTTACAAGCATCAGAGAATCAAAACGAATACAGAATGGAACATCAAGTGGGAAACGGGGAAATATGGGGACTATATTGGGGTATGCCGGGGCCTCATATCAGGAACAGGGGATTGGGGGATAGTCTACTGCACTTGCACATTTGAGGTTTCCACACATACAGAACTTGTCGGGACCAGTGGGGACAGGATTTTGCAGGGTCATGGTGGCAGCATGCTATGCAAGAGCATAGTCCCCCTTAAGTAGATAGAATATGGCTTTGGGTATATTATAATACGATCCCCATATACCCCATATTCTATCTACTTAAGGGGGACTATAACCCATAAAAACCCTAAACCCTAAATAGTAGTCTCCATTTTCTTTTCCATTATCCCTGTATAATCCTTGTAGTCCCTATATCTACTTAAGGGGGACTAGAACTACCTGCAGCCCCTAAACCCTAAACCCGAAACCTAACAGCAACCCAGTCTCACCATCGTTGGAGCGCGCGGATGGGTCAGCTCCTCGCAGCAGCAGGCTCTCCACCAGCTCACCGTCTCCCCACCGCGCTGCCTGATGTGCTTTGGTTTAGGGTTTAGGCGTTTAGGGTTTAGGGTTTAGGGGTCTAGGGTTTAGGGGTTTAGGGTTTAGGGTTTAAGGGTTTAAGGGTTTAGCGTTTAGGGTTTAGGGCTAATCAGAATAACAATAATAAGTATTGTAATAATAGGGGCAATAATCGTAAGAACGATGACAGGAGGAGTAATGGTAATAATAATAAGAACCGCACTAATAGAAATAGTTAAACTTCTCTCTGTCTGGCTGGTGAAAATTTACGTCAGGCTTTGAATGCGGTTTTTCTGGATTCTGACCCTAATGTAACCCCTGATTTCTAATCCCCTCCCCTTGATAGGGGGTATACTAGGGATCCTAATACTAAGGCCCTTAAAACGCTGGGGTTTATCAATCGGGGGTCTACATTGAACACGTTTTTGAAATGTCAACGGACGAGTATGCAAAGCAACCCATTGGCCGGCTGTATGACGGTGAATATGGTGATACTTCGGATTAGAAAGTTTGGAAAGCTTAGGGTTTACGGTTTAGTATTTTCGGTTAGGAAACTGTCCAAACCAAGGGACCTCACAGACTTAAGCTTGCCTTCAACTGAAGTCCCTCTCTCTCTCTCGCGTGCTCAGGGCAGTTGACGTCCCTCAACCCTAAAACTTCAAGCCTACAGCTTAAACTCCGAGCCCCTGAGCCCCAAAACCCTACGTTCGCCACAGGCCTCATGAAGCGGGCACCAGCCGTCGTTATCTGCCAAGGTAACACTGGCGCCCCAGCTGAGGATGAGCTCCACAAGCTCTCGGTCCTTGGGGTACTACTGGAGTTAAGGGGTCAGGGTCTCGGTTGAGCTTAAGCGCTCCGGTGTTCCTGTCCTGTTCTCCTGAACTAGAATGAAAAACCTTGTGTCCTAAAGCAAATCGTCAACGCACCGCCAACCCAAATTCCTATTGCAAGCACTTCCTGAAGCGACTTGTGATGAGGAGAAGCCTAAGTCACCTCTTGGTTCTCGTCCCAAAACACCCCACCAACGATGAATGTTTCCTTCATGAAGGGCTGGCATCTTCACTGGATAGTACTTCTTGGGGTGTGGGTGCGGTTAGTCTGGGGGGAATACACAACCCTGCTACATTTCATTGAGCCTAACCCTAAAACCTAAAGCCTATATCGAATATTCGTCCCTAAACCTTGAGAGTCCCGGCATGTAAACTCCACAAGGCCTAAGTATAAAGGGTTTAGGGTTTTTCAGTACCTTCTTCCCATCATCATACTATGCTCTAAACCAGCACATGGAAGCTAGGTACATAACCCACAATTGATGACCAAGTTGTAACCTGGGGTGGATTTTTACAATCCTGTCTGACCCTAAGTACCTTGTACCTTTGGAATTGTGGTATTGTTTCATGTGAGAAGGTAATGCAAAGTTCTCAGTATCAACAGTATGGTCACATATTCCGACTTTTCTTTGGTCAAGTGCCTGTCCAGCTTGTCCAACAATGTGTGGTCCCTTTCTGGGGGTTCCTATAGCAAGGATCATTGCATTTTGGGTTCTATAGTCCATACTATTGGGACCTCCTATTTACGGAAACAAGCGTATCAAGCAAGCGGCACCAAAGCGGGCTGCCTTATGCAATGGGCTCTCCCCATCTGAATCCTGCAGATTCACCTGAGTTACCGGGGTCCTTGAGGAGGTTGTTTCAAGCGGGGCCGGTGTAGAGCTGGGGGTTTAGGATTCTAGTGCTCCCCAAGGCCGACTAAAGTCTCCAAGCATCGTTGAATGCATGTTCACATGTGTGCTTCTTGATTATGGGACTTTAGGACTTGTTTTCCTGGTGAGCGCAAGGTAGGTCAGCGAGTATGGAGGGCGTAATGATGCTGTCGGCTTCCAACTTTCTCAAGCCACCACTAGAACGTGGCTTTAGGCTTCGTGATTAAGCGTAATTTCCATAAATAGGGGATCCAGAATAGATTCCAATATACCCTAATCCTCACCATAGGGACCCACAGAAAAGGACCTCTAGTTTTGGGAAACCCCCTGAGGGCCAGGGTCAGCGTCAAGGCCAGTCAAACGATGGGCCTGCCGCTTGGGAGAAGCCAGCAAGGAGTTCAGTAATCCATGTGAGCCATAGTCTAAACTCCTAGTATCCCCCTTGATAATCCCTATAGTACTCCCCTATAAAATCCCTGTATAACCTCCCTTTAAGGAGTTCAGACTTCAGCTCATGTTACAGCAACGAACTCATTGAGGGCGATATGTTGTCTGCTTGCCGTCTTGCTCAGCTACACGCGCTGGCAAACAGCAAGTCCTGAGCATGCGGATCTAGAACGACGCTACCAGTCGAGCCCAGGAACGTTGGCCTTCTGCAAGAGCAGTACGCTGCAGACTTCCACGTGGCCATTAGAGGCCTTGGCCGTTGTGTTTAGAGCCTACCACGCGAAATCCTAAAAGTCTTAGAAAAATCTATGGTCTTTGGGTTTGCGAGCTTGTAGATCCTGCAAAACAGGCCTGGAGTCATGGAGAGGCACCCAAAACTGTAGAAGACAAAGGACAAAGAGAAAAATGAGATGAACACGCCCAAATCGCAAAGCTTTGCGCCCTAAAAAAGTCCGGGAAGCTGCCAGGTGGAGTGGAGTCCGCTGCTTGGCACTCCCTGTGGTGTCCCCAGGTGCGCCTCACAACATGCTAGGAGAGCACCCGTTTGAGGTAGACACCGCAAGTCGCATGTTTCCTGTGTTGACGTCAAGGATCTTACATCATCAAATCAAGCTACCATACTCTGGGCATGTACGAAACTGTATGGTATCCTTAGACTCCTAGCCTAACTTGACTGCGTTCCTTAACAGCGACCCAGATGATTACTACATCACCGCACCTGACATTTATGGTTTAGGGTTTAGGGGTTCTAGCAATTCCTGACTAGAAGCTTATTTGGGCTACTTGCAATGCAGCTGTAACTACGCGTGAACCTCCAAGTAGGATCCAGCCCTGCATTTCCGAACCTGCTTCCGTAACTACAGTCATGTGAGGATTTAAGGTTAAGCACCAGGCCAAGTTCTTGCAAGACATGGAACACAAACATCAAACAGTTGAGGCGACGGACAAGCAATGAGACCACTGAGGGTCAACCATGACATCAAGATTCCAAAGCAACCACCTGACAGGATCTCCCAAGCCCTACACATCCATCATTCTTACCGCTACCTTTGGGGACGAAGGTAACTTAAACAAGACCGGCGCATGGTGTACGGTATTTGTATACGGGTTTGTGGAGAAAGTTAGCCAGCTTCTCCGTTAGGCATGCCACAAACTCTCACAGCAACGCTGCAGCCCTCCTTCTGTGAGAGCCCTCCGCCCTATCCCTAAACCTAAAGCCTAATCCTTAAATCCTAGTCACTGACCCCACAAACCTAATCCCTAAACACTAACCCCTAAGCCCTAAACCCTAGACCCCGCCAGCCTGAGTGCAGTAGGAGCTCCACAGCTTCCTGCTGGCCCTCCTGCGGCCAAAGGGCACAAAATGAGATTCCACAATATGGGTTAATATTGGGATAACGATAATGGAGAATCAGATGGAATAGAAAATGGACATGAAATGGAAACTCCTATCTTCTTATTTGTTGTTTGCAACTGTCTAGACCAGGCGGGTGCAAGGTTTGGGCTGGGACTGGCTCGAGGGGGCTTCTTCGTATTTTTCGAGATGAAGCCTTTGGCTGGAGACCGTCAAGCCTCGAGCTTGGGAAGTCCTCTGTGAAGTGTTGGGAAACCCTTGGCGCTAAGAATGGGAGGCCTGTGAGGCCCTAGGAGGCCTTGGGAGGGCCTTGGACGCTTCGGTGGAAGGTTTGGGGTATCTCATCTAAGGGCAACCTGATGGGTTACTGGAAAGCGAGCTGCCGGGTCTACCGCGCCGCCCACAGCTGCCTGCAGGAGTTCGCCCTGATCGGCGGCCCCAGCTCGCTCAGTTTAGGGTTTAGTGTGTTTACGGTTTATAGGGAATAAGGGTACAAAGTGTTTAGGGATTATGTAGGGATTCTATTCCCTCTGTATTCCCAATTCACCACCGTCAATAGAACTAGCTAGCTTCTAGGCTGAGCCACCATCCACTCATATGCGATCAGAAGAGCTCGTCTTCAGTGGCATAGCCACCTACTAAGTGTGCACGGCTGCGTCCGCTACACTGCCGACTCTCTCACGCGAAGGATTCCAAAAATGTGTACTTGGAGGGAATGACACCAGACTAGGACTGGGTTGGCCCCTAAAACCCTTTGAAAAATATTAGTATATAGGGTCCCTTATTAAAGCCATTAAGGAAAATACTAAATATCCCAGGGGCCTACCCAGTAGGAGGAGAGGAGAAGCGAAGGGCCACGCTCGAAAGGGATCATTTGGCCTGAAAGGAGAAGATGCGGAGGAGAGGAGAACAGAAGGGCCATGCCTGAAAGGACACCTCAAACCTGAAGGAAGGGCTTCGATCCTAGAAAGACTCTGCTTCTCTCACTCGCCACCCCTAAGCAGCCGCACTTCTGTTTTTTCGGGATTTTGTACCAAATACCTACCCATGGAGACGCGCGACTTTAAATCCTGCGCAGTTCTTACAAGAATTGGTTTCCTAACTTCCAAAACCCTTACTGGAAATTTGCTTGCAACAGCAAGTTGTGTCACAAGTGCCTGGCGTCTGTTAAAATTGAAAACAGCTTTTGGACCCATGTTTTGAGAAGACGTCTGAAATCAAACCACGCAGACAAAACCGGTGAACTTGCAGAAAGGTACATGAAGATCCTATGCTGTCCCGTTATAATCTGCCCAACAATCCCTCCTGCGCCGCAAGGTGCAACGGCGTATGCCCGCTATCATCTGGGCAGGATGCGTCCACACCACTCTGCAGGAGGAACCTCCATGCGTGTGTAAGTTCATCTTATGTCTCTGAATATGTTATTCGAATAGCGTGTTGGGCCCATTATACTGGAAAAATATACAAGGCGTGTAAAGGATGACACTGGCATGTATTTGGGCGCCTGTAGTACATGCGTAATCCCGGTAATATCCTACATAATCCAAGTTTCCGTCTCGTGTTTCGTTTGATTCTCCATTCCTGGGGGGTAAGACGAACTGTGGCAAGCAACCATGGTATGGAGGTTCGTTAACACTGTGGGATCCTGTTCGGGCCGCTTCTGTAATCCCCTCCCCGTTATATTACATCCCCCACCCCCGAATATCAAATACTCCCGATATAATATAATATGCCCCATAATGGGAGTATTCAATATCAGGGGGGGATTGGGGGGTTTAATACTAGGGGGGGTGGGTAACAGGAATTCTTCCAAGAGAAAATCTACTCAAAAGTGGCAGACTACTGGGTTGTCGCTAAGGAACTTAAATTAAGTTACCATAATGGGTAGATAGGGTATATAGGGTTTAGGGTTACCATAGTGGGTATATATATATATAGTAAATAAAAGGGGTTTCCCCAATATAGTGACTTAAATTACGTTCCTTAACAGCAACCCAGGCCAAGGGGACTCTTGTGCCCATGCTTCTGCAATCAAAACCAGAAAAAGCTTGTGCGTTGCGTCGGTTCCCGGAAGCCGAACCATAGCGTTGTAACATCTACCATAACATCTACCACCTGCATGCATTCTTGAAACGCTTTAAGCGGCCATGTCGTCGCGCCTTTCAACACCATGTCGTCGCGCCTGTCAACAAAAAAGCTGTGGGTCCTGGTCGCTTGGTGTGAGTGGTTGAATATTGGCAGCCGGCCGCAAATATCACCGTCAGCCAAACCGTGAAAAACTCCTAAACCCAAAACGCTGCTCCCGAAGGTTGTCAAACACACTGGCTGTTTTGAATATCCTACACTAGGGATCATATGGTACTAGGGACCACCGACGAATGACAAATTTAGACAGCCAACGCAAATATTGCACAGCAACCAGGACCAAGGAACTGTAAGCACTCCACGTGCCCCTGCTTGGCCGCGAGGTGCGCAGGGGTGCTGCCGTCCACGTCGCGCTGGCTAAGGGTGCCCAGCCCATGCTGCTGAAGAACCTCTCGGCTTAGGTTGGGCCCCCACCCAGTCATGGTGACTACAAGGGATAATCCTACTGCAAGTAGATTCGGGTTCCTATATATTCCCATTATAACCGCCTTTTTCTCCGCATACAAAGCGTGGATGGGTCGCAGTTCCCCAGACTTAGGTCCTAGCCACAGATTCTCCCGGCCACCTGCAAACTGCCTTTCTAAGATTTATTGACGCCTCTCCAATCATTCCAATCTTCCCGGCAAGAGTAGGGAAGCTGGTGGGTTTTTAGTGGATGAACCGAGCGATAGGAGAAGAAAGTACCTAGCATCCCCATTAAGAGTACTACTCATGTGCGGCTTGCGCCAGTAATAAGACTAGCTGGATCGGGACGGACCTCATAGACCCTAAACCCCAAACCATATTACCCCAGACATGAAATTTGACATGCCCTGATGAAGTGATTCCTGCCTTGCCTACGATTGAGTGAATGCTAGGTAGGGGAACCATTAAGGTCATCGATAAGACATGGAATATAAATGAGACGGGATATTTGTTGGTCGTAACTTGGGTTTCTACCTACCTAAGGCACACGCCCTGCTTGCCGCGGTTTGGGATACGAACTGTCACGCAAGGTCTCCTTCGATGAAGCCTAAACCCTGACAGTGAAAGTTGTGGAAACTGCGCCATAAATTTGAAACCAGCTATCCACCTACATAAAGCCCAATGTCACCCTGATACTCTTTTGTTGTGTAGTCGCTACGTCCAAAGACCCTACATAACCCTATATGCCCTTTTTCAGCTCCTCTTTAGTGGTCCCTCCCACGAAAACATGCGTACCCCACATAATCGCTGGTCTATATATATATATATCTCTTCTTAGAACCCCCATGGATTGGATTATGTCCCCTGACTGTAAATTTCAAGCGATTTTAACAAGGGTTTCCTGTGGCGGCTGTTACTTTGTGTGGCTGAAGCCCTAAGCTCTAAGCCGAATGACCTAACTGGGATGCTGTTGAGGAACTTAAACTAAGTTACTATGAAACCCTACTAGTTACTATACACCCCTATTATGGTAACTGAACAAGTAACTTAAGTTCATTAACAGCAACCCAGTTAAGCTATGCAATTATAGCCCCGCTTAAGTAGATAGGATATGGCCTTGGGTATATTAAAATCAGATCCCCATATACCCCATATTCTATCTATTACAAGGCAGACTATACCCTAAACCCTCAATCCTAAATAGTAGTTTCCATTTCCTTTTCCACTATCCCTATATACCCCATATTCTATCTACTTAAGGGGGACTACAGAATTTGGAGCCTGCTGCAGGCAGGCCAAGTCCCCATTTTCCGCAGCATCCTGGACCACTTGGCCTGGGAGGCGGCGTGGGTTTAGGGGGTTTAGGGTTTAGGGCTTAGGGTTTAGGGAACTTGGAACCCAGTAAGAATCTTAATTTCTGCTTTTCCTTATGATTAGAATAAGTAAAAAGCAAAAACTATTTCCAAGTACCCCTAAGTTTAGGGGTCCGGCAGTGGAAAAAAAATCAGGTTAAGGCTTCCCTTCAAGCGGCTACAGGGAACATGTAGGGCTCTGTGAGGGTCATTTGTTAAGAATACATAGGATTTAGGATTTCCAAAGTTAGGTGTCCCCTTTTAGAGGTGCCTGTCCGAAGGATGGTAGTATGTGGAAATTTATATTGAAGCCTCCCATTTAAGCAAGCTTCCATATTCAAATCCAGGGTATTCATTACATGCGAGGGCTTCGGGTTGATACTTCTCGGAAAAAAGCAACCCTAAACCCTAAACCCCTAAACCCCTAAACCCTAAACCCTAAGAATAGGGTCTTCCTACAAAAGCCCAGGGCCTTGGCGGTGCTTTTTGAAGTGCATTTAAGCAGGGGATCGGGCAAGGCGCCGAACGTCAAGAAGAAACACATGGGGTGGTTGTCAAAATGATGGTCCTTTTTTGGGTACCCTATTACAATACGGCACCTAATTTGTAGGGTACCCAAAAAGGGACCATCGGGTGGTTGTCAAAATGATGGTCCCATTTTGGGTAGCCTAAATATTAGGTGCCGTACTATACTCGGGATCCAAAAAGGGACCACAATGTTGACAATCACCTACATGGCGGCTGCCAAAATTTCTCCTCACAAAGCTCGGAGGTCTACTTAGCCAATCCCCCCAGAAGCTCGCAACAGAAGGCAGACCACTAACCCTAAATGGTAGTTTCCATTTTATTTTCCATTACTCCTAAAGGACCCCAATATAATCCCTTCGACTTTCAAACAAGCGGCTGAAGCTTCCTTCCTTCAGGGAGGTGGAGTCTGCAGTGCCAAGCCTCTGCGTGTATTGCTGGGCACTGGTCTCCTCAGCTACCTGGGCTAAGGGTTTTGGGTTTTAGGGCTTGGGATTTAGGACTTAGGGTTTAGGGTTCAAAACTCTCAGGCTCTATGTGCGCGGATTTCATAAATAGAGAGCCTCCATTACATGACAATCCAAATGAGGACAGCGAAAAGGGACCCCGCATGCATAGAAACCCCCATGTAGGAAGAGGGTCTACGTGGCATGACACGGAGTTCATAAAAAGTCTAAGAGTGTCTGACCATTTGGCTCCTTCAGGTTCGTGTGCTGCTGGGACAGCTGGCTGAGCATGAAGTGGCTAAAGTGTCGGGAGCAGGGTTGAAGGTTTTACCGCATAATAGAAGGTCTAAACAATTGACAAAATCATGTTGAAGCCAATTGCAAGGAGGCTATTATGCAAGGAATCTCCCTACATTACGTCGCCCCAACCTTTCATCATGTTGCTACCAGTCCGAAGAGGTTAGTGTTCCTCAGCCAGCAAAAGCTCGCTAGGTCTGGACCCGCAATGTTGTGGATAGAGGCTATAGCTCTCAGGTACCCAATGAGGAACCCCTCGAAGAGTACCTGAAACATCTGTTCGGTTTAGTGCTGATAAGGTTTCATATAGGGTCAAATGGGAATCTTCCAAAATGAGGGGTACGTCCCTACAGAAAGGATTGTAGTATTTTGGGTCCCACTAGCCTGGGAAACGGGAACCTACCATATGGGCCATAATCTAAAACTTCTAATGCCCTCCTTGGGAACTCCGAGAATACTATATACTCACCTAGATAAATCCCCCTTTAAGGGGTTGAGACTGTAGCTCGCATGGGAACTGAAAAGTTGCCCTTGGTGATCCCTGAATCCGAAACCCCAAAACCCTAATCCCTAAACCCTTTTGGGAAGCTAAACCCTAAACCCTCTAACATATAGGGCTTTCATGGTTCGTAGGGTTTAGATCCACAACCTGTGACCCTGTGATCTGCAAGCTGGCAACGTCCGCGTCGAAGAATTGATCAGATGCAGCACCCTCGGGTATCCCGGAGCCACCTTTAGCTTACCGTCGGTTAGGGTTTAGGGCTTGGGGTTTAGGGTTTAGAGCCCGGGACTCTAGGTGGAGGTTCAGTTCAGGACTTCGAACCCTGAACCCCTGTACCTTCAACAGCCCTTTCCTAAACCCTAGAGCCATACCCTAAACAACCCTTACCCTAAACCATGGAACAAGCTTCACCCTTATCACAAAGTCTTACACCACAAGGCTCTGCGCTGACTGAAATCTTGTTATGGACCCCACTCCCCCGGAGGGGAAGTAAAGCCAGGTGCAGGATAGCATTTCATGATAGTGCATGGTACTTCATAGTTGACTATACTGTTGGATACTTAAACTCAATCATTCAAACTAGAGTACAGCATTGTATGGGGTAGGGCTTCACACTCTAAAGACCCAAGCAGCCCCTAAAACCCTAAACCCTAAACCCCCCGTAAACCCTAAACCCT